CATCATAGCGTGTACTTACACAAACCTAGATGGTATAGCCTACTGCACACTTAGGCTGTATGATACTAATCTTATGGGACCACTGTCATACATGCAGTCCCTCCTTGACCAAAACGTCATTATGTGGTGCATGACTGTATAAATTTTTATAAAATAATTTTAATTTTATTATTGAAAACCTCAAATTGAGGGATATTCTACAAACCTGAACACTTCAGAAGTGTTATGGTCACTAAAGACAAAGGAAGACTGAGGAACTGTCACAGCCTGAAGAAGACTCCGGGAACACAACAATAAAATGAAACGTGGTATCCTAGATTGGGTCCAGGACCAGGAAAAGGGCATTAATAGGAAAACTGGCAAAATTTGAATAAGGTCTGTAGAGTTAATAGTGTTGCACTGATGTTAATTTCCTGGTTTCGATAATTGTACTATGGATACGTAAGGTGTTAAAATTAGGGGAAGCTCGATGAAGGGTATATAGAAGCTCTCTGTACTATTTTTGCAATTTTTCTGTAAGTCTAAGATTATTTCCAGATAAAAAGTCTAAAAAGAACTTTGAAGACATGAACCCAAGTGAAATAAGCCAGACACAAAAGGACAAATATTGTATGACTCTACTTATATGAGTACCTAGAGTAGTCAAATCCATTGAGTCAGAAAGTAGTATGGTGATCACCAGGGGCTGGTTATTACTGAGTGGGTACAGAGTCTCAGGGTCGGACGATGAAAAGTTCTGGAGATGAATAGTCTGATGGTGGCACAACAACATGAATGTACTTAATGCCACTGAACTGTACACTTTAAAATGGTTAAAATTGTAGATTTTCTATGTTACGTATATTTTACCACAACAAAAAAAGTTTAAAAAAGGATTTTCAAAAGCCCTGCACCCTAAGATTACAGCAGCTTTCTTCATAATTGCCCAAACTTGAAAGCAACCAAGATGTCCTTCGGTAGGTGAGTGGATAAATAAACTGTGCTATATCCATACAATGGAATATTATTCAGTGATTAAAAAAAAAAAGAAATGAGGTGTCAAGCCAGGAAAAGACATGGAGAAACCTTAAATGCATATTACTAGACGAAAAGAGCCACTCTGAAAAGGCTCCATACTGTATGATTCCAGCAATATGACATTCTGGAGAAGGCAAAACTATGGAGACAGTAAAAAGATCAGTGTTTTCCAGGGGTTGGAGGGTGGTAAACAGGCAGAGCAAACAGGATTTTTAGAGCAGGGAAACTACATGTGTGACACAGTAACAGTGGATACATGATATTATACATTGGTCTAAACCCAAAGAACTGTACAACACAAAGAGTGAACCCCACTGTCCACCACGGACTTTAGTCAATAATAATATGTCAGTATTCATTCACCAAGTATAACAAACGTACCACACTAATGCAAGATGTTAATAACAGGGGAAACTGTGAGGGGGAGAGGCAGTATATGGGAGCTGTGTGTACTTTCTACTTAATTTTTCTGTGAACCTAAAAGTTCTCTAAAGAATAAAGTCTAGGGCTGGCCCCGTGGCTTGGCGGTTAAGTGTGCACGCTCCGCTGCTGGCAGCCCAGGTTTGGATCCTGGGCATGCACCAACACACCGCTTCTCCGGCCATGCTGAGGCTGTGTCCCACATATAGCAACTGGAGGGATGTGCAGCTATGACATGCAACTATCTACTGGGGCTTTGGGGGAAAAAAATAAATAAATAAAATTATAATCTAAAAAAAATAAAATAAAATAAAGAATAAAGTCTATTAGATCTATACCATGTTAGACTAAACCGGGGTCAAAAGTGGTATCAGGAACAGCTGTCAGAAGGCTACTACAGATACCCAGGCAAGAACAGGTGGTCATCCATCTAGGGTGGAAGTGGTGAGGATGAAGAGACATGTATTCACCACAACAGGGAGGTAGGGAACCCTGGACCACAGGAAGCCCAGCTGACCCCACTGCCTGCTGAAGCTGTGGCCTGGACCAGGCCCCCCTTGGGATGCACCAGATGGTGCCTAGATCAGCGTGGACTCTCACGGCAAGATTACCACTGCAAGACCAAACCCCTCCCCCAGGGCTGGTCCAGCCAGTCCTCAGAGAGAACTCCCTCAGGAGAGGGAGCTAGGGAGAGGGAGCTAGGGAGAAAGCGCTAGGGAGAAAGTGGCCAGGAAAGATCCCCCAAAACTGCAGCTGCCAGGGAGAAAGTGACCAGGAAAGATCCCCCAAAACTGCAACTGGGGAGAATCTGAGTGATAGTGAGATCAGCTAATTGCACAGACAATCCCGCTAAGAGACAGCTCAGGCATAGCCTTGAGACCTAGGGCGGCTCCCACATTCTCCCCAACATGGGTGCTTCCGCAGGACGCGACTGATGCCACAGAAACTGTGTCATAGCAATATGGCCAGGGCAGGGGCGTTTCAGTAACTGAAGGGCGCAGGAAGGCAAACTCCACAGAGCAGAGCTGTCCAAAGAGGCAGGAATGCCAGGGACACCAAAGTCAAGCCTTATTTCCTCTCCTCCTGTCCTTCTACAGTCGCAGATTGTAAAGAAGTCACAGCAGCAAAGAAACTACTCCAGGTATCAAAAGAACACTCTACCTCTAGGATTAGTCAGGAAGAAGAGAAAGGGAGGCAGGATGGTCAAGAGTGAGGGTTCTAGAGTCTGAAAGAGCTGGGTTCCAACCCTGACTCTGTCTGGTCAAGCTGTTTGACCTTAGGAAAGTTATTTAACCTCTCTGAACCTCAGGTTTTTCTTTAGTAAAATGGGAATAATAATAATCAACACATAACAGTGTTGTGAGAATGAAAAGGGCCACTACATGTGAAGCACTCAGAGTCCTAGCTGGCATGGAGATGGGTACTATTTTCATGCTCATTTTAAAGAGGCAGAAACTGAGGCTCAGAGACATGAAGGAGCCTGTGGGTGGCAGAACCTTGCCAGTCAGACTCCAAAACCCCTGTTCTGAACCACTAGACCTGCACTGTCTAAATACAGTAGTCACCAGCCACAGCCACAAGTGCCTATTGGGCACTTGAAACATGGAGAATCCCAACTAAGATGTGCTATCAGCATAAAAGAGACTGGATTTCAAAGGCTTTGTACAAAGAAAAAAAGTAAAATATATCATGAATAATTTTCATATTGATTACATGTTAAAATATTATTTTGAATACATTGGGTTAAATAAAATATATCATTAAAATTAATTTCACCTGCTTTTTTAATTTTTTTAATACAGCTACTCAAAAATTTTAAACTAAATTGTGGCTTTATAAATATAAATTATATTTCTACTGGACAGCACTGCACTAGAGCATGGTGTCTTGTGGTGATACGACCCTGTGCAGGAACTCCTGTGAACATCCGAGTTGTGTCTGGAATCACCCATAAGGACAGGGGACCTAATTCATTTGGAAGGAAAAAAGTCTGTTAGAGACAGTGATGCTTGAGGTCCAAAAGTCTTTTTAAATGCTATGGCTATGGGATTGGGAAAAAGGCCTTCCTTGCATCTCAAAGCCTGGGGGCTGGGCGAGAACTAGAGAAAGCTGGCAGGAGCCAGAGCAGTGTTTACCCAGCACATAGTTGCACCTAGGAGAAGAAAAGCCATGTGGATTCTTTGTGCCCTTTTTTGGCTAGCCACAAAGAGCAGAGGATGAGGTTATTTTCTGTAGACTCTGTAAAGGCCAGGGAATAGGGTTGACAAATTAGGGAGAAAAAACACAGGATGCTCAGTTAAATTTGAACTTCAGATAAATACTGAATAATTTTTTAGTATAAGTGTGTCCCAACTCAGACCATATCTCTTTCCTGCTGAAAACAGTCCAACCACTTCTCATCATACTTAGAATAAAATCCAAACTCCTGACCATCACCCAGAAGGTCCTGCATGGTCTGGTCCTTCTCTGCCTCTTCTATCTTATCCCCAGCACTCTCCCCTCACTAATTCCCCTGGAGCTACATCAACCTTCTTTCTGTCTGTCCTTCAAATATTCCAGGTTCATGCCTGCCTCAGGACCTTTGCAAGGCTAGTCTCTCTACACTCCCTCCAGATCTTCTCCGAGTTGGCTCCTTCCTAACATTCAGGTCTCAGCTCAAATGTCCCCTCCTCAGGAGACCTTCTCTTATACCGAAAAGTTCCTACAATTGTTTTTCTTCAAATTACAAATTACTACCTAAAATTCTCTGGTTTATCTATTTATCTTCTGTCTCACTAACTTGTCAATCCATAAGAACAGAAGCTCGAACCCTCTTGTTGATGCTGTGACCCCAGCACACAGCACAGAGACTGGTGATACTGGCTCAACACAAGGTTCACATACGGGAAGCCATATTGTAGAAAAGAAATCACATTGTAACTTTGAATGACCTGTGATTAACTAACCCAGACATGCTCTGTAGATTTTACGGCCCCTCCCAGCTGCTATAAGTTGATAACTTTGTTATCTTGAGTTTCCTAGAATGTGATGACTCCCGGGCAGAGAGTCTATGCTGATAGCCATCATCAATGACAACTGAAAGCTCAAGGTATAGGGCGTTGCTCCGGTCTCTGATGCATATCCAGTAAAAAAAAAAAAGACTATCGGGAACTAAGACCAGAGGCCTCCCCCACCCAGAGACCAGCCCCCATATAACTGGCCTGTAATCTCTGTTCTGTAAGACGGTTCTTTCGGTCACTAGTCCGCCATCTTCCCTCTAGCTAGCAAGCTGTAATAAAAAGTCCTTTCTCTCCTACCTCCTTGCCTCTTGACTGTTGGCATGTCTTCCGGTGGGCAGACGACCGCCCCCCTTGGGCGCTAAAACTGGCACACTGCAGGTGCTCAGTGAGTACCTGTTGAATGAATGAATGCAAAAGGGCCCCAGACGAAAGAGTCAGGCGTGCCACTAACCAATTATGTGTCCATGACGATGTCCCTCCCTGTCTCTGGGCCTCAGTCTCTTCATCTGTAAAGTGATGGGATTGGACTAGATATTATTTGAGGGTTCTGCCAGCTCTGATGTGCTGTGTTTCAGGGATCCCAAAGACAGACTCCCATTGAGCTGTATTTCCCTGGAATTCTGGAGACAGTTCAGCAATGACCACAAGCTGAGGACAATTCCACGGGAATCTAAGGCAGACAACCGCCTCACCTTTTGCTTACCAATTAGCTGCACCTGTTCCTCTTCCCTGGAGGCTGTCTCCTGCAGATCATGAAGAAATCTGCTGTTCACCTTTATGATATCATCGATGTTTGAGAACAGGACATCCAGATCTCCCTGCGGCAGCTAGAAGGAACAGAGAAGCCATGGGAGCTCGCTGGGAGTTCTGTAGAGTGACTTTATTTGCAAGCTTTGGAGAGTAGTCCAGAACACTCACACCATCAGGGTCCCATCACTCTTGGGGAGACTATCCCTGTGGAATGTTTGCAAGGACTCTGAAATTCTATAAATTAGGTATTTTCATTACTCTACAAGAAGAGAGGAAGAGATGGAGCACTCAGCATGAAAGGAAAGCTGAACTGGGGTTTTACCCCCAGGTCTGCTGGCAACTCTCATTTTTCTTCTCTCACTTTTCCCATCTGTCATATAAGGGTGGGAAGTTGGACCTCACCACAATTATCTTGAGATATACCCTGACCTCTAATCCCTATTAACTAGGCTATCCCACTGTTAAAAAGGATGCAGGACGTCTATATATATGCATGGGTATACACAGGATATATACAAAGAGAGATGTACTGGACACAGGATCAAGTGGGAAAAGCTAACTGTAGAAAAATATATGGAGGACACTCTTATTTTGTTAAAATAAGTAACAACCTATATGTGTTTGTTCAGTGCCTACAGAGAAAAATCCTAATTTCTAGAAAGCAAAATATGAGAGGACTTTTACTTTCTGTTATCTACTTAAGTATTTCATTCATTCAAGAAACCCTAGTTGAAGTCCATTGTTTATGTGTTAAGAACAGGGATATGTTGAATTAATAGTCTTTCCCCTTACGGAGCTTACACGCTAGGGGATGCTTGAATTTTACAGAGAGAGGCTATACTATTTCTGAAATCAGGAAAAAAAAACATGTAAAAAATGAACCCTAAAATAGAAACCCATCATAGTGATGACTTTTCCACGTCACCACCCCCGACAGGAGACAATCAGAACGTAGGTCAGTTTAAGCAATCTGTTCTAACAAAGGGCTACTTTACCCATGACCTCACTTAATTCTCTGAGGTGATTACTCCTCTTCCCATTTAGCAGATGAATACACTAAGGCTCCAAGGCCTTGCTGAAGGTTGTGTGGCAACAGATGGAAGTACTGGGGCTGACGTCCAGGCGACTTCATATCCACCACGCCTTCCCCTCCATCAAGCCAGAACCAGGAACAGATGTGAAGTCTCGAAAGCAGAACTCACATGTGTCCCTATAAAGACAGGCTGTGTGTGGCCCCACCCAGGTACCTGCTGCAGGCGGCTCCTGATGTCCGAGGCACAGAGCTGGAGCATGTGCAAGTAGGAGACCTCCGTGTCGATGAGCTCCCTGACGGCCAGCCTCTGATGGAGCAACGATCTGTCTGCAGAGACCCGACCTTCCCCGTCCGGACTCCCTGTCCCGGAGGACAGCTCATCAGCCCCATGATCGGCCATGTCAGCAGGTTCTGGGAAAGGCAAACATATCCCAACTCACTTCTGGGAGCTCTGCTGGAACATTCTATCTCCAATCCAAAGACAACTCTTCATCAAGTGGCCTAAAAACATCATTAGCTGCATACAGACTCGAGATGAACTATGTATCAGCATTTGTGGGCAGGATCTGAACAATCTTAAAAGGTAGAACACAGCTCAGATAATTGTTGATTTCCCAGGATTCAGACCATGTGCTTGCCTGGCTTTTCTTCTGTTTCTTCCCCCAGCTCTTGACCCAGATTTCTTTATCTGGTTCAGCTGAGTCTCTCCCCGCTCTCTCTCCCAGTGGTTCCCTCCTCTCCACCCCACTACCCCATTCAGGCCATGTACTACCTATCACCTGGGCTATTTCCACAGCCTCCAGGACTATCTTTCCAAATCCAAGCCCCTCTCCCACCTGCAGCCACCCACGCCCTTTCATCCTGGACATTCTTCCAGTTTAAACTTCCTGAAACAAAGCTTGTGATCATGGTATTCCCTGCTGAGAGACTTTAATAGCTCCCTGCTGCTCCGTGGTCTGGCTCCAACCCCATTTTCCTCTTCTCAGACACACTCCAGTGAAAGAGAGTTATGTGCTTTTCTGCATACCTGCATGGTCATTTTCTGCCTCTGTGCTTTTGCGCCTGCTGTGCCCCATCCCATGCCTCTATCCTCTGACATTTATCTTCTCTAAGGCCTTTCCTGATCCTCCCAGCCAGATGGACTTTTCTCCTTTATCTCTAAGTTTAAAAAGTACCAATGGCAATACTGTGAACAAGATGGCCTGAAAAATCTCCCTACTACAAAATACCTGGGAATGCGGGATCAGGTACAACAAACTCCCTTTTCACTGCATGGTAGGGCTTGCAAGAGAGTAAAGAAAATCAGCAGGCAGGGCCCCAAAACAGAGGGCACTGAAAACCAGAGCAGGAGCAGCTGACCTGATATAGCTGTGGCCAAAGTGGATGGGATGGGCAGGAAGAGGGCACTGCCGAGCTCAGTGAACCAGGCACTTGGGCCTTAGTGTCCAGGCAGGAACAGGAGATAAGCTCCTTCACAGAAGGGGACCTCAAGACTCCAGTGAAATGGTGATTCAGAAAAAAATGTCCCCCTACCCATACAGAAGATGACAAAGATGTTTCTCTATCTTGGCTTGGGTCCTGGGTGAGGAAAAAAGTCTCCTCTGAAAATTCATAACAACAGGCCTACTTTCACCGGGTTTTAGGTTCAAATTGATAATACACATGTGGTCCAAGTAGCCCAAAGCTGAGAAATTAACAAAAAAATTCTGGACTAATGCTACTCTAAGTGTGCAAAGGATAAATAAAATGTCTCCAAAAGGACACATCCTTAACCTAAGCTACATGGTACTCTAACAGATAATCTTGTCCTGAAAATGAGCTTAAAATTCAAAATTACAAGAACTCCACTGTGAGTGAGCATCATCAGAAATAACAAAGAGCAAGATTAGACCCCAAGAACATCAGATAATCAAACGATTAGATAGAAAGTATAAAATAAGTAGAAAAAGAAAAAACATTATAAAAAGAAATAATGACTTATATGATTTTTAAAAAGCACCAAATAGAACTTATAGAAATTAAAATTTTAGTCTTTGAAATTAAAAACTGAATGGACAGATTAAACAGACATTTAGGAAAGAGAAACAGTAAAGAGACAGATAGATCTGAAGAAATTATCCAGACTACCAAAAAGAGAGAAACGCATGGAAAATATGAAAGAGAATTTAAGGGATCTGAATATTGAAATAAGAAGGCCATGGGGCCAACCCAGTGGCATAGTGGTTAAGTTCGTGCACTCCGTTTCGGCAGCCTGGGGTTCGTGGGTTCAGATTCCAGGCACGGACCGACACACTACTCATCAAGCCATGCTGAGATGGTGTCCCATATACAAAATGGGGGAAGATTGGCACAGATGTTAGCTCAGGGACAATCTTCCTTACCAAAAAAAAAAAGAAAAAAAGGCCAGGTATCAAATCTGAGTTCCAGAAGGCAAGAATAAAGAGGGTGAGGAGAGGCAATATTTAAAGAGATAAGACTAAGAATTGACCAGAATTTATAAAAGATATGAATTCTTAGATTCGGGAAGTACAAGTCCCAAGCAGGATAAGTTAAAAAAATCAACATCTAAACAGGATGAGGAGAAATTGCAGAACCTGGAAGGCCTAGAGAATTTACCTTGTATAGTCACGTTCTCAGGAAACTATGGGGGAATGTGCTCCATCAAAGTAGAGAAATAAATCAAGAAAGAGGAAGACATGGCTACAGGGAACTAGTGATCTAATATGGGAGAGGCACCGAGGAAATCCCCAGGATAGGAGATGGGAAATCCTAGGATTGATTGTTGGCTACTGGCAGACAGCAAACAGTCTGGATGAGAGTACTTCGGAAGGTACTAGAATATCTTGAGAACACATTTATTGAATTGATAGAGAATATGGTGTTTACGTAGGCATAATTACACAGACAATACATATGAAACTAAGAAACAAACCAACAGGGCCGGCCCCGTGGCTTAGCGGTTAAGTGTGCGTGTGCTCCGCTGCTGGTGGCCCGGGTTCGGATCCCAGGCGCACACCGACGCACTGCTTCTCCGGCCATGCTGAGGCCACGTCCCACATACAGCAGCTAGAAGGATGTGCAACTATGACATACAACTATCTACTGGGGCTTTGGGGGAAAAATAAATAAATAAAAATTATAAAAAAAAAAAAGAAACAAATCAACAAACAAAAACAAAACAATTGTTAGAACAAAAAGTTGTGCAGAAAAGATGAAAGTAGTTATATGTTACTACCTGGTTCAGTCATAAACAGAATTTACACACATAATGCAAGTGATCTAATCAATATTATGGATAACTATACAGAGAGGATAGGGTAATAGGAAGGCTATACATGTGCGGTGAAAGAGGAGTAAAAAATAGCTAAATCCTCATCTTCCACTGTGGAAAGTCAAAGCAATATCTAAACTGAAAGCTCAAGAAGTAGCAGTATATGCATGCTATTTAAAGATATGGAGGTAAATACTAAAATAATTAGCTAAAAATGACAGAAGGAATTGCCTGGTAGTGGCTGGAGCAGGAAGGAAAGAGAAGAGGACAGGCTGTTTTTCACAACAAACACTGCAGAATTATTTGTCTCTGTTTCTTATAACAAATGTAGAACTATCCATCTCTTTAAATTATATGCCTTTATAGCTTTGATGTGAACTAAAAACTAAATATGAGAAAAAGTGAGAGTTCCTCAATTTTGCTGGAGATCAATATTCAAAAATAAATCATATTTCTATATATGCCAACAATATTTAAAAGCGCAACTTAAATGCCAACAATATTTAAAAGTGCAACTTAAAGATAGCAGCATAATAATAAAAAGAGTTAATAATATAACAAAAAAGAACTATTTATTCCTTCCTAAATATCTTAATTTAACAAAAGATGTTCAAGATTTTTATGAAGAAAATTATAAAACCTTATTGAAATACATTTAAGAACTAACTACAAGTAGAGATACACTATGTTCATGGATAGGAAGAATCAATATCACAAAGACGAAAATTCTCCCCAAACATATTCAGCACAATTCCAATAAAACTCCCAACAGGGTTGTTGTTGTTTTAGCAGAACATAATAAAATGATTCTAAAATACACAAGGAAGAGTAAGAGGTTAAGAATAGCTAACGCAATTCTGAAGAACAGTGTAGGGGGACCTGTGCTACCAGATATCTAGATATATTTGAAAACCATAATATTTAGTAGTTTGGTATTGACACAAGGGCAAACAGATCAGTGGAACAGATTAGGGAGCCCAGAAACAGACCATAGTAAATATGAGAACTTGATATATGACATAAGTGCCATTATAAGTCAATAGGAAAAGGATGGTCCATGGGATAATTAGCTTGCCATATAGGAAGAAAAAAAAAATGCAATCCCACATCACACCCCAAATAAACTCCAGATGGATTAAAGACATAAATGTTAAATATGAAACTCTAAAATTCTTAGAAGAAAACATAGGAAAATATTTTTATGCTCTCCAGATGAGAAAGATTTCTTCAATAAGACATAAAATGTACAAACCCCAAAAGAAAAGATTTATAAAGATTGATCAGGGCCGGCCCTGTGGCTTAGCAGTTAAGTGTGCGCGCTCCGATGCTGGCGGCCCGGGTTCGATCCCGGGCGCGCACCGAAGCACTGCTTCTCCAGCCATGCTGAGGCCGTGTCCCACATACAGCAACTAGAAGGATGTGCAGCTATGACATACAACTATCTACTGGGGCTTTGGGGGAAAAAAAAAAAAAAAAAGATTGATCAAACTGACTACAATTATACTGAAACATTCTATTTGTAAACAATTCTACAATCAAAACGGAGAGGCCTCAGATCAGAATACACTTATAATGAATGTAACCTGCAAAAGTTTACTATCTAGACTATATAAAGAACTTCTATGAATCATTAAAACAAAGCAATCTAAAAAGAAAAACAGACAAAGGATATTGTTGCAAATACAGCATTTGGGTTCATTCCACGTCAGTTTTAACCTCCTCCTATTAGGTCTTGATGTAATGCCAAAACTGGAGAGATAAAACCCAGCTTCCCAGACTCCCTTGCAGCTAAGATTCCAAGATGTGTTTTCAGCCCCATCACTCAGATGGTCTTAGGTGAGTCCTGAATTAGGAACTGAGCTAAGTAAGAAGGGAGGTGGTGTTTGAGGTATCCATTTAATGGGGCAGGTACTGGATTGTTCTGAAGTCAACAGTTCTGGCAGCAGATTAGGCTAAAGTCACGGAATCCTGAAGCCAGCAGCTTCCCAATTCTCCAGTTCCCTGATTATTATAGAGGGTAGCAGCTCCTTTGGAGGGCCTTTCCTGTAATATTGCTTTGGGACTCATTCCTAGAGGCCCATTCTGTGGCTTGCTTCTCCAGCAACACCCACCCCAGCCCCCACCAATGTGGTAAGCACCTAATGCCCTCTTTTAAATGCCTTTCTGGTTAAAACAGAATGATCTGTGTTATCTCCAATGCTGGCTGATGTAGGTATGAACAGGTAATTAACAAAAGAAGAAATTTAAATCGCTAATACACAAATGAAAAGATGCTCAATTCACTAGTAACTAGGCAAATGTGAATAATTAAAACCACAATGAGATACCATTTCATGCCCATCAGATTGGCAAAATATAAAACTAAAATGTTGGTGAGACTGTAGAGGAATGGGAAGTCTCATATACTGATATAATAATATAAATTGTTGCAACCACTCTAAAGAGCAATTCGGCAATAGCTAGAAACACTGAAAATGCACACACTGTCAGGCCAAGGAGTTCTACTCCTAGATATATTCTGCCTTCAAGAAACTTCTCCACATATACATAAGGAATGTAGACAAGAATGTTCACTGCAGCACTGTTGATAATAACAGAAAATTAGAAAGAACCTAAATGTCCCAAGGAAAGTGGATAAACAACTTGTGGAATTCTGAACAACACTGAAAATGAATAAACTATATACTCATGTATCAACATGACTAACCTTGCAAACATTGTAAAGAGGAAAAAAAAAAAAAACCCAAGTCCCAGAAGGGTACATAGAGAATGCATGATACTATTTTTTTAAAGTTTAAAATATGTAAAACAATGCTAGATATTATTTAGGGATATACATATGTAGCACAGGTATTAAAATTTTCATGGAAGCGATTAGCAATAAATTCAGGATAGTAGTAACCTCTGGAGAGGGAGGCAGAGGAATGGAATTGGGGAGAGTATCAAAGGAGACTTAATGGCATCTGAGGGGATTTTTAGTTAAGCTTTTAATTTTGAGATATAGATTCATACGCAGTTGTAAGAAATAATACAAAGGTTCCATGCACCCTTTACCCAATTTCCCCAATGGTAACATCATGCAAAACCAAAGTACAATATCACAACCCGGATATTCACACTGATACAGACACGGTACAGAATGGTTCCATCACAAAGGTCCTTCATGTTGCCTTTCCACCCACTTGGCTCCAGCCCCATCCCATCCTTAACCCCTGGCAACCAGGAATCTGCTCTCTATTTCTATAATCTTGTCAGTTCAAGAATGTATATAAATCATACAGTACATATATATGAATCATACAGTATATGA